AATTGGCACCAGGCGGTCTCTCAAGTACCCAGGTCCAATACCATGAAGGGCTTTATAAGTGACGACTAGCACCTTGAAGCGTATCCGGAGATTAATAGGTAGCCAGTGCAGCTTGCGGAGGATAGGTGTTACGTGGGTGAACCGAGGTGCACCCACGATCGCTCGCGTGGCTGCATTCTGGACAAGCTGGCAGTGGTGTAGTGTTTCCTTCTTAAGTAGGGGGTTGGACTAGAAGACCTCCAAGGTCCCTTCCAATTCTGTTAAATTTAAAAATTTAAATGTAAAGATATCATTATAAGCTGCTTTAATCAGGCAGTGCCTGGAAACCAGATGAAAAAATACTTTACAATCTGGTGGAAAATTTCGCAGATAGGTTTTAATTATCATTTCCTCTTCAAAACAGTATTTTACATCGTCCTGGATTTACAACAACAAATGAACCCAAACTTCCTATTGCTAAGCGAGGCAGTTGTTAAATCAGTTGCTCCTCATTTTGTGACTTTTTAAAAAAAACTATGGTTGTTAAAGCAAATCATGCAGTTGCTAAGTGAAGCATATGGACATTAAGCGAATCCAGCTTCTCCCATTGTCTTGGCTTGTCAGAATCTGGCTGGGAAGGTTATAAATGGTGATTGCGTGACCCAGGGACAGTGCAGCTGCCATAAATACATGCCAGCTGCCAGCTGCCCAAATTTTGATCATGTGACCATGGAGATGCTGCAACGATGATGTGAAAACTGGCCATCGCTCACTTTTTTTTCAGTGCTGTTGTAACTTTGAACGGCCACTTAATGAATGGTTGTAAGTCGAGGACTACCTCTATTGGGAATATTGCAATAGCATGGTGAAATTTAAAGTGGGAGAACTTCATCATGAATGTAACTGATTGCATGCCACAGTAGACATCTCCAACTTTAGTCCATGACAAGCGAACTGAAATATGCAGACAGTCTGTGGAGTGTAGCCAGTGATTTGATTTATCACTTTAAGACAATCAGGAAGGTTAACAGGTAACCACGGCGATCTAGTTCACACACCTGGCTAAGCTGTGGCTTATTTAATTATGACTTTTTGAATAAGCCCCAATTTATCGGTTTCATCCAACGTGCTAAGTTCTAAAAGTTTACAAGTCATCATGGCACATTTTGCTTACTCTATGAAGCCAAAAGTAAAGTAACCATCCTGTGGCTTGCCGTATTTTTCAGAGCATAAGATGCACCTTCCCCCCCCCAAAGAGCGTGGGAATGTTGGTGCATCTTATACACTGAATACAGCCATTTTTGGCCTCCTGAAGCTCCATCCCCACAAAAAACGGGCCATTTTTCACAAAAATGGGGGTGTTTTGCCTTCCCCCACCCCCCAGAAGCAATGCAGAGTACTCCTGGGGGCCGGGGAGGAGAAACCTTTTTTTCTTATTTACTGCTTCGAAATCTTGGTGCATCTTATACACCGGTGTGTCTTATAGTCTGAAAAATACGGTCAGCTGGTGAATCAATCCATCGTCTGAGATTTAAATTTGAAGCAATAGATTAAAAGCCTGTTGAATGATATTTATTATTTTTATAATCTTAATTCAAGGATAAGCAACTGGTGCCATCACAGTTCTTCATCCATCGATATTTTTAAATAAATGTAGTTTTCTAATATCATCTTTTTACATTTTTTTTGATAAAAACCAGAGCAAAGGAAGAATTATGCACGAGACAGCATCAGCAGCATTTCAGAGATAACACAATACCATGTGGAGGTAAGATTTATTTATTTATTTATTATTTTATCTTATTTTATTTATGCACATCATATATATCCATAGATAGAAATAGCTGGGGGCGGGGGGTGATTCTTTCTCCATTTTATTTTGTAAGCAATGTGTTTTGCTTTTCCAAAAAGAATCTCTCCAACAGTTTAAAGTATCTGCTCTGCTGATCCTTTTGTAAACCTACATCTCCTTCTTCTCTTTTGCCAACCTGTCAGCACCTGACCACTTTTGTTCTGGATCGGAAAGAAGCCATGATCACAGTGGATGATGGAATAAGGAAGCTGAAACTCCTGGATGCCAAAGGCAAAGTCTGGACACAAGACATGATTCTTCAAGTCGATGACAAAGCTGTCAGTCTGGTGGACTTAGAATCCAAGGTAAAGACTCAGGAATAAGGTTGATGTGTTGGCAGAGTTGGGCGAAGATCTTAAGCAAGGTTAGAGCAGGGATGTCTAAACTCGATTTCATTGAGGGCTGCATCAGGGTTGTGTTTGACCTCGGAAGACTGGGGTGGGTGTGGCCAGGGTTGGTGTGGCCAGCTTGATGTCTGTGGTGGCGCTATTGCTCTGCCAGCGAAAATGGAGTCCTAAACTCTATTTTCAGCCACAACGGCCTTCTGCCACCCTCTGGGCCCCCGCTCCTGAGCTCTGTTTTCACTGGCAGAGGGTGGTAGGAGGCCATCGTGGCTGAAAAGGAGCCTAGGAGGGTGGTTCCACCACAAAATCGCATTCGACTAAACCGCGCTTGACGAAACCGCGTAGCTGACGTCATCAACAGGGCGACAACAGCGCGGAGACAGAAGCATGCTGTAAACGCTAAACCTAAAATTAACCCCTAAACTTAAATCTAACCCCCCTAAACCTAATCCTAAACCTAACCCTAAACCTAACCCTAAACCTTAACCTAACCCTAACCCTAACCCTAACCCTAATCCTAATCCTAATCCTAATCCTAAACCTAAACCTAACCCTTTACCTAACCCTAACCCTAATCCTAATCCTAACCCTTAACCTAACCCTAAACCTAACCCTTAACCTAACCCTAACCCTAACCCTAACCCTAATCCTAACCCTCAATCTAACCCTAAACCTAACCCTTAACCTACACCTAAACCTTAACCTAACCCTAACCCTAACCCTAATCCTAATCCTAACCCTTAACCTAACCCTAAACCTAACCCTTAACCTAACCCTAACCCTAATCCTAACCCTAAACCTAACCCTCAATCTAACCCTAAACCTAACCCTTAACCTACACCTAAACCTTAACCTAACCCTAACCCTAACCCTAATCCTAATCCTAACCCTTAACCTAACCCTAAACCTAACCCATAACCTAACCCTAACCCTTAACCTAACCCTAAACCTAACCCATAACCTAACCCTTAACCTAACCCTAACCCTTAACCTAACCCTTAACCTAACCCATAACCTAACC